TTGCAACTATGCAGTGCAGGGAAAGCCTGTAATGGCAGATTTGACAAAGAGCCCAGGGAAGGCCTACCGCAGGAAATAACACAGTTGGAATCCAAACACTGGATAGGAATTCAGGCAAAATGGGGAGGGTAGAGGTTATCAGGCTGAGAGGAAAACTGCATGAAGACCTTTGTGGGCAGGAGTGTGGCAAATAAGAGCCTGGGAGAAGACAAGAGTGCTGGGGTTGAGGTGGCGAAGAAGAGTGGGGTAAAAGGAGAAGATGGAAAAGCACTTTCGGACAAGATCATGAAGGGACTTGGCTCTGTTAGAGAACTTTCTCTTTGTTCTCATTCAAATTGAAAATATTCAAGAGTTTTAACAAGTATTTCTAGAGGGAAGAGAGGAGAACGCTGTAGGTAGACCAGTTGAATACTTCCTGTGTCGCAGTGTCTAAGGGCACACCGTGGTCTAGGGTGGACATAGTGGATAAAAGGGAATGATAAATTCAAGAATACTCGGAAGGCAAAATCAAAGGAATCTGGAGTTGCATTGGATATAAGGAATGAGGTTGGAAGGGTCAGTGCTAGTTTTCTGACTTCACACATTGATTTGTAGAACCACCGTTCCATTGAGATAAGCAACGGCACAGGAGAGCAGGAGTGATGGAGGAAGACTATGACCCCGGCCTCAGATGTGCTGGGCTTGAGGTACCTTTGTGACATCCAGAGGATACATAAGAAGCTGGATGTATAAATCCAAATCTTAGAGCTACATCTGGAGGCATAATCTGTAAGCCTTTTACATAGAGATCATTGGAGCCATGGGTGTAGATGAAATTAGGAAGGCTGTATTTGAATGAACATGTAATGACAATCGTGGTAATTTTCTGCCTTCAATATAGGAAGAGATGGCTACTGACTTATTTATGTTAAATTTCTTTTCATTTAAAAATTTCTTTTAATGTTTATTTTTGAGAGAGAGAGAGAGCAAGCACACACATATGGGGAGTGGCAGAGAGAGAGGGACAGAGGATCTGCAGACAGATGCTGGGCTCTAACCCACAAACCATGAGATCATGACCTGAGCTGAAGTGGGTCGCTCAACCGACTGAGCCACCCATGCGTCCCCTGTGTCTAAAGTTCTTGAAAGGATTCAAAACAAAATTCTGGTCCTTTCAAGTGGTCATTCACATTTATCTACTTGCAAGAGGTGCTTGGAAATGTCAGAATTTTCAACAACCCAGGAAAAGTAAGGTTACAGGAGAGGATAGACTTGCTATGTTATCATGTTGAGAAAAGAGAGAAAAATCAAACCTGAATACTTCTTTAACTAGGATAAAGCCCTGGTGTAAATGAACTAAGCCTAACAAAACATTATACTGCTTTGAATTGGGTTAAACTAAAAAAAAATTGTTTTTTGAAAAAAACTTTGTTAGGAAATTTGTCACATCACATGGACAAAAACCTTAAAGACATCTGTGCTCCAATCAAACAGAACTCTCTGGGTTGTCTTACTTCCCTGCTAGGAATAAAATTTACTTCTATGCCTTTTTCACATTTATTAGTAGTGAAGTCAAATACTAGTTGCTTATATAGTATATTAAACTGAAGTTCACTAGGAAGTATTTGACCTGTAAGAGTCGCTGAGGATGAGTCTAGAATTGGGGAGAATATTTTGGGGAAGTGTTCCTTGAATGGGGAATAAACAGGGCTATGGTTAGTAGGTTCTCAGTACGTGCATGCTGGAAAAGATTATGCATTTCTTATGAATCACTAAGTACAAATTGTAAAGTATAGAATATTACATGTTAAAATCATTACTTTTCAATTACTTTAATTACTGTGGAGTACAAATCACAAAATCTATGGACAAAAAAATGTAATTGTAGATTAGTCCTTAACACCGCAGTAGCTACAGCATTGAATGGAATGTTGTATGTTATTTTAACTTTCAGATGCTCTCCTGGCCCTGATTTTAGTTGGCTCAGTGATTAGAAGCCCACCTACAGAAAGCACTGTTCGTTCTTGTTCACTGTTGTTCCCTTCTTTGTAGTTACCCACATACCTGTGGGTGTGCACGTTTGACTCTGCAGGGTGCATGTTTGACTAATGGGGTCAAGAGAAAGTGTTGGTGTGAAACTCCAATTTCTACGTGGCGAAATTTCTAATAAGGAAAATGTTCACAAGAAGTTTAAAAAGTAGGAAGGAGAGTAAATAAGGACCTAGCTCTCTCAGGAACTAGAGTACTCACTCTTAAAATCTTCAAGTTGGCATTCAGGTAGCTAAAGGACAAACCTGGGCTTGTGACCTCCTTCCTTGTGACTTGTGATGTTGGTCCAGAACCTGGAATGTGACCCTCTCCCTCAGTTAAGACATCAACCCCTTCCAGGAGAGGAAGGCATGGGTGTAGTGGGATCAGGGGCCAGCTGGGCACACTGAGGAGTGGCCTCCGTGGGTGTTTGCGAGCACAGGTTTTGCTCCATGTGTGGCTCGGATTTATTTCTGATGAGCCCATGACTTCTCCATGTGGAGCAGACAGTTTTCTACCTGAGAAGGGCTTTGCTCCTGACGCTGGTGGGTCAGGTCCCACCATGCCATCTGTGTGGGCTCTGCCCATCTGCTGATCTCAGTGTTGCCGTTCCCTTGGCGACCAGGCAGGCTGCTGGGCCCACGTGATAAGAGAAACCTCTGCCTAAACTGAACCTCGGTCCCAGCAATTCCAAGCTGTGTAAAACTGACTAAGTACCTTCATCTCCCTGTATCACATTTTCCCATTTAAATAATGGGGGTACTCAGACTTCATCTCAGCATAGTTATGAGGATTAAACATGAGAATTTAGGGATACCTGGGTGGCTCAGTGAGTTAAGCATCCAACTTCAGCTCAGGTCATGATCTCATGGTTTGTGAGTTCGAGGCTGGCAAGGGGCTCTGTGCTGACAGCTCAGAGTCTGGAGCTGCTTTGGATTCTGTGTCTCCCTCCCTCTCTGCCCCTCCCCTGCTCACCTCTATCAAGTCTCTCTCTCAAAAATAAATACACATTAAAAAAGATTTTTAAATGAAGATTTAAAATGACCAACTGCATGTAAAGTACGTAGAACTGTAAGCATTTGGTGGTGTTACTATTATTATTATTGAGTTCATGACTAAACCTGAAGCCCTAATCAGCATTGACTCATATTCACTATGAAGGGTCCATGTGCACTCTGTGTTTATGGGCACAGAATCCCAACCATACGGCACATGTAACCGGAAAGAAAAGTCCTGACCCTCCCCCCTCCTCCCTCCCACACCTGGTCTTACCCCCAACACCTATGCTGTCTCTTCCTTCTCGAACTCTGCTAGGCTCTACCTCTACCACCGTGCACTAGACCAGCTACAGAAGTGATTTTCAGGAGGGCAGCGTGTGGCGTGAGTGTGTATGTGCAATGTAAAGAAACAAAGACAGGGCTGTTTTATGCAAATATTAAAGCAACAATGTCTTCCACGGTGTCATTGTTGTCACTTTTATAATTAGTGGAAACTTGGAAGGAATATCGCAACCACCAGCCAGGATGCCAAATTTCAGAGTGTGTAGAGGTGGCACAAGGACCCAATGCGGCACAGTTTGAGATGATTGTTCCTTTCCCAACCACAACCTCTTCATTCTATTCTAATTATTATGCTTTTGCCCTGGTGTCTGAAGTGCTCATCCCATAATGATTTTATAAGAAAAGAGCCGTGAATGAAATAGAGGAGTTTCTTTTCCTTAAAATCTTTTTTTCTTCTTTCCAAAGTAGTTCAGCTGTGATTAAATACATATATTTAACTGTAAACATGTAAAATATAAAGCTTCTTGGGTCCTCCCTTCAAGTCAAATCACTTTCTGTTGACTAAGTCGAATGCAATCTATCATGTTCTTCTGTTAGGACAGAATTCAGTGTGAGACTTGGTTTGTATTTTCTCACGGTGACTTTTGTGTTTGAGGTGCTTCCTATAGGCATTCACTGCTTGCTTACAGACTGCTGCCTGTGGCTCTTTGTTTCATTTTGATGATTTGAAAAAGCTGTGTGGAGAAGTCAGGCACAAGTTGAATATTTAAATTAGAAGTCAGGTGCAAGGTGAGTATTGAAGTATGCAACCTCAGCAGTGAGTCTAAGATTCGCTCTGCTGAGCCTTCTGCTTTGAAGCCTTGTTTCTCCGTTTCCTCGCAGAATTTCTGAGAGAAAGGGAAACCTTCAGCTGTGCTGCTTGCTACTTCAAGAGAAGCCTTTCTGAAATAGCAGCTTTGGAAATATCAACTGGGTTGATTGCATAGAGGGGTACTAAGGACTGAGAAGGTCTGGTTCTAAACGGAGTGAAAAAGTTACATTATTTTTTATATATCCTCTGGCATGCTTAATCCATTTCAAATATTCATATTCCATAAAACACGTCCTTCTTTGTCCTCTCTGGATAGGAACATTCCCTCTATCCTGAAATGTAAGAAGCATGTGGTCATTTGTAATGTGTCTCAGTATGATTCGAGTCTTAATTATTATTCTAGCTTCACCTTAAAAATTCTAAGTAGACGTGGGGCGCCTGGGTGGCTTAGTCGGTTAAGCGTCCGACTTTCGCTTAGGTCATGATCTCGCGGTTCGTGGGTTCGAGCCCCGCGTCGGGCTCTGTGCTGACTGCCAGCTCAGAGCCTGGAGCCTGTTTCGGAGTCTGTCACTCCCTCTCTCTCTGACCCTCCCCTGCCCACGCTGTCTCTCTCTCTCTCTCCTAGAAATAAATAAAACATTAAAAAAAAAATTCTAAGTAGACAAGTAACTTCGCCAACCACTTAGCATCTTTCTGCTCAAGAGCGCTACCCAAGAAAAGGGGTGACGTGCTGCTTTTTGTTGGTTCCTGGTTGGAATATCAGGTTTCTGGGCCCAGACGTGTAAAGGGAAGAGGGGACTCGAAGTGCTTCAGAGCTGAATTTCAGCTGAAGCTCTTGTTGATTTCTCATTTTGTTTTACTTACCAGCATGCGAAATAACCAAGCTGTTTTGTGCCTTCCAGCTATATTCATTTCAACCAAATAGAAACGCTACAGCCTGAGACCTTTGGAGACCTTGTGAAATTAGAAAGACTGTAAGTGTTGACTCTCTCGATGTCCTTTGCTTCTGCTTTACTTCTTTTGTTTGTACAACGTATTGACTGCCCGGGAGATCAGGACATGTTGTTGTCAGCCTAAGAAGCAGGGCCTGCACTTTTGTGCTCTAAGATAGAGTTACTGTAAGACATTCTATAGTTTGAAATCAATGGAGAAAAGATGAATCCCCCAATTAGAATTAGGGCAAAAGCGATGAGCGACATTTCACGAAGGAGGTAAAACCGCTTTGAAAACTTGTGGCAGAAGTTAACGGTACACACACCCTATGACCTACCCATCAGTTCCACTCATGCTTCTAGACACCACAGATGCGCACGTGGACATGCGCATGTTCTGGAAGGTTTACGGCGGCATCCCCTTGAACAGCTCTGCGCTAGAACTGACTCAAGCACCAACAACAAAGAAGAGAAATCAGTTGTTGCATATTCATAACGCAGAAGACTCTATGGCACATATGGGTCTCATTTTGAACCAGAAAAAGAATCAAACATTGAAAATTGCATCGTTTCGTTTTGTTTTTAGGTGAAATTCAAAAATAGGAATGCGTGTGGTAGCTAGGAGTTAGACAGTGGTTATCTTTGGGGAAAGGAAGTGATGGGGGACAGCTGGAGGGGACTTCTCAGTCCTGATGGGTTTTTTTTTTTTGTTTTGTTTTCCCTGGATGGTAACTACACAGCTGCCATCACTTTTGGGAAATCGTCGTGCTTACAGCATGATGTGCGCACTTTTCTAGATGAATGTTATATTTAATACAGCTTTTTTCAATAACACTAACAAACCAAAAGGACACTTGGACGGCCTCCTTTCATGTCATCTTTTATCAGATGAAGATACTCCACCCCTTCATTTCTTCTGTACCTTATGTTAACAAATTGTGGTTTTAGCAGAAGAGATGGTATTTTTTTAACAAAAAATGCAGAATGACAGAGCTACGCTTAATCAGGAATATGTTTGAATTAAATATATCTGAGAAACATTGGAATTAGGAATTTATAGGTTCTGAAAAGGATACCCTTTCATATGGATACACGGAATAGACCAGTAAAATTGAGATATAAAGAGAGCTAATCAACTACTTAAGCCCGCCATTACTCCAGCCTTATCTGCATACAGAAGTATGGGAATTGTAATGCATAAAAGTGCATTGTTTGGATTTGTGTTTGCTTTGCTGGAGGAATGTAATCGAATAGAGAGAACTGGGTAGGAAAATGTTCTTTACCCCTTTCCCGCTCTACCAGCTGTGAGCAGTGATATCCACTTTGGGAAATTCAAGGTGTAGTGAGCATCATGGTGACTAATAAGCTCTAAATAAAAAACTCAGCACCACCAGCTTTAATGTTGGGGAAAGTATCGCTGATGATAAGCATCACTCTCCTCCATTCAAAGCTGGGAAAGGGGGGATTCCTGCTCCCCAAAGGAGATCACCAGCCCTAAGGCAGTGATGGCCCCTCTTGCCTTTAGGAGGGGGCTGTTATCTTAGGATCCATGAATGTTCTTGTAGGAGTCGGCCATTGACCAAGAAAAAAGGCTTTAGCTTTTCATATCCTCCCTATTACGTAAATAAACACTAAATATATATATATATATATATATATATATACGTATGTATATATTTCTTGAAAGAGCTCTGAATATATTAATCATAAATGTGTTTTTGTTATGTTTCTCTCTTTTTTGTTGTGTTTTTTTTTTTTTTTTAATTCACTGCTTCTTTTGGAGTTGGTTTTTCTTTGTTTTGTCTTGGTCTTTCTTTGTCATGGTCCTGATTAAGATCCTTCCTGTGGCTTGTGATTCTTGGTATTTATACTTGAAAATGCAGGGCTGGGGGTTGGACTTTCCCCTGCTCTCTTGTAGGTAGGTCTGTTTTCTTTCAAAATTTCTCCTTAGTGGGAATTTTAGTTTGGACAACTGGGTGGGGAAATGGCAGATTTCTCCTTCTAAAATACTACAATGAGAGAGGAAAGGCTTCCTCTTCGGTTTCTGCTCCACACAAAATCCATTACTTTTCTTCTGTCCTATAATTTTTCCTCTTAGCATTTGGCGGCAGCCTCAAATTAATTACATCTCTTCATCCACACGTTGAGTGACCCCCGCCCCCTTTCCATTGTGCCTCCCTGCTGTGTTTGAGGTCTTGGGTCCTAAATAATCAGATTGTTCCTACTTCATATACCCTCTGGGCTTCTGTTTTTCTCTCTATTTCATCTTCCAAACCTTTCCATGCATTTTGTGTGTTTCCAGAGTTCTCTGCAATCTCTTATCTGTTGGTGACCTTCCACATTCTGTCCTCTTGATTATTAAGGATTTATTTATTGTATTGGCCATCTGGGCTATTATTTCTGTAGAGTTCTGAAAGAGAATGAGGCAAATTCGTATGCCTACTTCACTACTGTGAGTCAGCATTCTTCTCCCTATAACTTTGAAGTGTTTGTGGAAATAATATTTTAAATATTAACATTAAATGATTGTATTAAGGTATTTTTCACTCTAAACAAATCCAGCAGTACTTTGCCTGTAGCCACACATCCTCAAGTAATGTGCACTCAGCAGCAGCACCAGCAAGAGGAAATCTAGAATAGCTCTTTATTGATAGGTTTTGATAAAAGCCCGCATGTGTTGCATTCATAAATATCAACCCCTACCACTTGTGCAGAATGTTCTTTTCAGTGGAGGCATGATGCAGTGCAGGCAAGTAAAGACCTGTGTCTTCATCTTTCTATGAAGAAAAGAATTAATTTGAAAATCCTGGCCCTTTACCAAAGTAAGATTTTTCTCCAGTAGATAAAACTGATCTTTAAACAATCCTGTTTATTATTCTATCGACAAGCAAAAGAATCTATATGCATTTGATGATGCCACCTGGATTCAAACTGGTAATTGAGAGCATGATACACAGGTAGAAAATTGAAGCAATGCCTCTGTTAAAGTGTACGGAATTCTGACTTTCTGTCTAATAACTCGTGGTTGCTATGGAAGAATTATGCCATTTCTCCCCAATGCCACTTGCAGAAGCAAAGTGGTGAGATCTTGGACATTCTTCGTAAAGCTGGCTCCTTATATTTATTTTTTGTGTGTGTACTGACCTCAGCAAGTCATAGTTTGTATTTTGTATGCTTTTTATTTGGTATCTTTAATGAATCTGTCTTTTAAAAATGGGGAAAATGTATCAAGAGGATGAAAACCTTGATATTCTGTATCCGTAAAGAACATTCATGGTGACTGAGAATACATTTAGTTTTATTGGTTTAGGGAGAATACCAGCTTGAAACAACATCACACTAGATGCTTTATGGAGTCAGCCAGCCTGGAAAATGTCTGCTTTATAAGGCATGCACCTCACTAAAGCCAAGCCTTTTTCAAGGAGCTTTCTCAAGGTGTAGGAGCCGAATGTGAAGTTTTCTCTACTTCTTAGAAGTCTCTTGGATTTGCAGTGGATATATCTTTGAACGCTAATCTAAATTTCAGGCAGAAGATACACTTTTCTCTTCCCAGAACATTATTGTTGAAAATACTCCTTCATGGCTTGGTTTGCTTGATAACATCTGTATTTCTGCCACAGAAAAGAGATCAGTCTTTGTATCAATTTCAGTGCAATGGATACTGCTAATTTTTTTAACCATGTGTCCTTAACAGAAAACATTAGCAGCAAATAATTATATGAACTTTCCAATACAGCAGGACTTACAGAGGTGCTTTTTAGGACTTGTTGGGAATAAAGCAATCAAAGTGGTACTTCTGCAAGCAGAACTCAATGCATAGTTTGCAAAGGCATTTTAAATATTAACTTCAGGGAAGTTGGAAAGAAGAAAGAGAAAAAAAAAAGCACAGGCATGCATTTTTGCACCCCTCTAAACAGTACTGCTGACATAGCACCACTGTTTTCCTGCTGTCACTGACACAGTCGTCTAGAATTACATAATAACAATTAATAATAATATAAGCCCCATTTTATAGACAAAGGAACAAATAGTTACAGAAAAAGACAAGTGGTGATAATATCTGATTTGGGAAGCCCAGTAATATGTATGACATAAAGAGATGTTGAAATAACATTAATTTGGACATTTTGTCACTGTACAAAATTAGGGACATTTTTTGACAATGATTTTCAATATTTACATACCTTGCTTCAAAATCTGTGATGATGGAAATGTCATGTTTTTTTCTTGTTTTGATTTGATTGTTAAACAATTAATTCTGGTCGACTTGGCTTGGAAAATAGATAACAGCCTTCAATTTCTGATTATTGATGCAATTTCCAGCCTTTTAAATATGTTAAGAGAGTAATCAGCAGCCTTTGTACTGTTGTTATCATAATGGACTATGCTAGTTATAAGATAGTGAAATAAACTTGTAGCCCAGCAAAACAAAATAAAACAAAACAAAACAAAAAAAAACAAAAATGAATAAGTTGTCCAAATTATATGGCTTTCCCCAAGGTTCAGCTTCAATGTTCTACAAGCTATTTCTCCATTATGAAAATCTATTCCAATATCCCCTGAGGAATGCAAATAGATTAGGGCTTGTGGGGAATTAGAATTACTCTGTGACTTCCGTCTGCACACCCATCCTAACCTGTTTACTGCTTCTTCTCTCACCATTGCTTAGTTTGGTGAATTGGGTGGGGCAGAGGAAGATGAGTATAAGGAACTAAACTAGTAAGGATCAGGAAAAAGATTTGTATCTCTTCAGATGTGCATCAAATTTCCAAAACCATAAAAATATTTTGCTCCTTCTGACTCCCTGTTGCCTAATCCCTAATCGATAATTAAAATTAAGCTAAAAACATACATTGCTAGGAAAACAGGTCAGATGACCTTATTAAAATTTGAGATAGGAGCACTGGTTGTGAAGCAGGACTCAGAGGGAGGCTGGATGTAGCTGTTAACACTTCCTACATATTATTCAGTTATTTATGCTCATTTCCTACATTCTTCAGAAATAAATGACATTCAGGGATACCTGGATGACTCAGTCGGTTGAGTGTCTGATTTTTTTTAATGTTTATTTTTGAGAGAGAGAGAGAAACAGAGCGTGAACAGGGCAGGAACAGAGAGAGAGGGAGACACAGAATCTGAAACAGGTTCCAGAGTCTGAGCTGTCAGCACAGAGCCTGAAGAGGGGCTTGAACTCACAAACTGTGAGATCATGACATGAGCCAAAGTCGGATGCTTAACTGACTGAGCCACCCAGGCACCCCCGGTGTCTGACTCTCGATTTCAGTTCAGGTCATGATCTCAGGGTTGTGGGATCAAGCCTCATGTTGGGCTTCACACTGAGCATGGAGCCTGCTTGGGATTCTCTCTCTCTCCCTCTCCTTCTCCCTCTGCCTGGTGCTCTCACTCTGTCTCTCTCTAAAAGAGAGAAAAGAAAGAAGTGGTATGGAGCTTTCCTCTGTTTTGCAGACTATTGTCTTCTCTTCTTACACATGTTCTCTGTTGAATATGCTTTCAATGGTGCCAGTAAGAATAGAAGCCCTGCTGTGATCTGCTAGCCATCTGCTCACAGTAGGGGGAGGTGGCATGGCCAGGGGCAGTGCTCAGGGAGCCTAAACCCGTGCCAGACTGACCAGGTGAAAGGAGAGGTAGAAATACTGTGGCCTGGGCCTCCTCCATTGCCTCTGTCCATTACCTCTGGTGGTGGAACCTGACTGGGAAGAGGAAGCCAGGGGCAACAGAGCCTGGGGACATGCTTTCCCAGTGATCTTGCTGGGGTGGTGGACTTGGGCATGGAATTGAAAGGGAGCAAGCAAATGGTGGGCCGAGCCAGGGACCACAGCAGCACCACATGGACCTGTGGTTTAGCTAAACCGCTGCTGGCCAGTAAGCAGAAGGGGATCAACGGTTTCCATCTACAGGATCCGGTTAGTCATGGTTGGCTTGCAGCACGCCGCAGCCTTAACACACAGGAAGTCAGGGTAGAGAAGGTGTTCCTGTGTGTTTAGAGACTTACTTTTGTGATTTTCTCTTTAGCACTTATAATCCCTAAGTAAATAAAACAAAACATTAAAGAAAAAAAACATGGATGAGAAAATACCAGTGTGGCGGTAGATTCGTGCAGGTACAGCTTTACAACAGTGCTTGCATGTTTGCTCTTTCTCACGGGAATACTTTAAAAAATGTATTTGGAGTCACAATTAGACTTTTTAAAAAGAGGTCTCCTAAATCATCTTTACTGCTTTGCGATTAAAAGTTACCTTTTATTTTTCAGGTTCTTGCATCACAACAAATTATCTAAAATCCCTCCTGGGAGCTTCTCTCATCTGGATTCATTAAAGAGACTGTAAGTGAAAGCAAACGCACAAACACAAAAACCTTCTGATGATTTCCCCCCGAATAAATAAACCCCAGGCAATGGTTTGCCTCTGTTTCCTTCTGCCGTGAAAGATCATTGAAAGATCATTGCAATTCTAGCGTGTTATAGAGAAAATGGTCTCGTTAACCGCAGAGTGAGAGAGGATGCAGACAGTCTACTGAGCTTTCATGTATTCTCTTAGAAGTGACATTCAAAAGGAATATTGAAGATAGAAGTTTCCACGGTTCTCAGTAATTTCCTTGCTGGTCAAATCTACAGACTCCCAGGACTTCCTTTTCCTTTCGCTTTTATTTCGAAAAGAGATGTGACAAAGTTCCGAAGAAAGTCTAACTCCTCTGGCTGGGCCTCAGAAGTGTGGCCTCGTGCGCGTGGTTACTGGTACAGCTCATTTCTTCCTACACTAAACAATTCATTGCGAACATCCCAAGCCTGTTTTCATCTCCAACTGCCTCACTTTTCTCTCTGCCTCTGTGAATCACTCGCCTTTACCCTGATCTGTCTCCTACACCCCAATCTCTGGGTATACCTCTGCATTATTGATAGATTTGGGGTTGTTATTTTTCCCCTGGGTAAGTTCCAGTTATCAGCTAAAGGTCAAATGACTGCTTCCTGGTTCCGTGTGGAGGGCACACAGGGGAAGAATCATGGGGGCTTCTCTCTCAACCATCCTGGGGGCCACACTGTTGCTGTTGTCTTTCTGGTGTGATGCAATAAGGTCCAGGTTGACAGGCAAGGTAATGTGAAGATTTAAGTAGATATCAGAATACTGGGGAAAAGAAATGTGTGTTGTAATTGGTGCCTTGAAATCACACTTGGAATCACTGTGTTTCAAGGCTCATGAATAATCGGGAGGAACGTTCATCCAGCCCCAGTCCATTGTTTCAAGTGTGTATTCTCTGTTTACTGTCAAGGCAGAGTCCTCGCCGCAGATGCTGCCTTCCCTGTCTTTTCTCCTCGGGCTGTGCCCTCTGTGCTCTAACCCACTGAAGCCTTGCTGGGTGGTTCTCTTCACGTGCCAGAATCTTCCTTCTCAGAGCTGGTTGGACCACAGCCATTTGGAAGAGTACACACGTGGATTCTTGTTGGCTGCTACAATAAACTTGGTCTTTTAGAGCTGTCTGGGGTTCACAGAAAGTAGTGAGACTTCCCATGTACCCTTTGTGCCCCCCACACAGCCTCTGCCACTATCATCCCTCACCTAAGTGGAATAGCTCTTATCCATGTGACAGGATCACCCCAAGTGCATCGCACATCTTAGGGCTCACTCTTGGTATTGAGCATTGTCTGGGTTCAGATGAATGTGTAATGACATTTAGCATCACTACAATGTCAAATGGAGTATTTTCACTGCCCTGTACATCCTGCGTGTTCCACCGTTCATCTCCTTGTCCCCATCGCCTCTGGCACTAGATGTTTTCCTCTCTCATCTTTTCTTGAATGTCCTATAATTGGAGTCTTACAGCATGCAGCCTTTTCAGATGAGATTCTTTCATTTAGTTGTAGGCACTTCAGATTCCTCCACGTCTTTTCATGGCTTAATAGTGAATCTCCTTTTAGTGTTGAGTACTCGTCCGTGATCTGGTTGTACCACAGTTTATTTATCGATTCACCTGCTAACGGACATTTTGCTTTCAAGTTTTGGCCACTATAAATCAAGCTGCTAAAAACATCCCCATGTAGGGATTTGAGTGGACATAAGTTGCACATCCTTTGGGTAAATCCAAAGGAGCATGAGTCCTGGATGGTATCGTAAAAGTGAATCTGGTTTTGTGAGAAATTGCCTGCCTGTCTTCCGAAAGGGCTGTACCATTGTAGTCCCACCAGCAGTGAGAGAGAGCTCTATTGCTTCCGGTCCTCACCAGCAGTTAGTGTTGTCAGTGTCCTGAATTTCAGCCATTCCAACTGATGCATAGTGATATCTTATTGTTTTCACATGCCTGGTGTTAAGTCATATCTGGAAAATGAAAAATGCCAAGATGTTTTGTAACTAGGTAATAGGATGCTTCATTTTGGAAGTGGGAGAAATATTTTTTTTTACTTGCCTCCTTTCTTTTTTTGTTGGATTTGTTACATCACTTGCGGTTAGAGTCACTGTGTTTGTATATTTGCAGCTATTATTCCCATTAAATGTTTCTTTTCTGCATAGATTTCTACTTGGGTTTCATCCTTGACTTCTAAGACTCTTGGAAAATATTAAAATGCTAAATCTCTTGGTTTTTTTTTTCCCTAATCTCTTTTTATTATTCTTTCTTGTTAAATTTTAGTAGCAGCTTTTTTGTTCTGTCCTCTCACATTTAATGAAACGGCACTCACTGCATTGCTGGGAAACACACACAGAGAAACAAATACTAATAAGGAAGCAGAGGGAGACCTTACTTACAGTGATGTGCCGGGATGTATGTTCTATGCATGCACTAAATTTATGTCAAATGTTTTAAGCCACTTTTAAGCTAATGTTGTTAGTACATTATGTCGATGAAGTGTCTATTTTCATAGATGGTCCACTGATCACTTACGGTAATGGTAAACTGACATACAGATAATTTGACCCAGCCCGTCCTGGGTTCACGAGATCTTGGTCTGGCTGCAATCGTGAGCCCTGGTACCTGGTTATTTCAGAGCCTCAAACCTGTGCCGATCCAGCCTGTAATTTATACATGAAAATCAGAATACAGGAAAGTGGTCGATGGCTAGTAACCATCAAATAAATTCCGTATTCAAAGATGAAGTCTCTCAACAGCTGAAAGAGTGTCATTGCCCTGGTTGCGTCTGGGGTCCGAGAAACCTGTGTGGGTCACATGTGCCCTATCAGCCCTGGGAACTGTGGTGACACTTGATTGTGGTTTTCCCATTTGTACCATATCATTTCTGACTCATGACAACAGTATTCCTTCCAAGAGTACTGAAAAACTTAATGAAATGTGCTTTTAAAAAGTGCTTTTGGATCTTTAAGTGAAAGGGATTATGCAAGCACAAGTGATATATCACTCTACTTTCAAACAGAAAGATTTGAATTTGAACTTACCCTGTGCTTTTTTATTCCCTTTCAAATTGCCCATTGATCAGTGAACAGGCCCAAGTGAGTAATTATTTTACTGTTGTGATTCTTGACTGCATACTATCAAAGAGAAGTTGTCTTTGATTTAGCACATCTGGTATGATATTTGATGTACAAGAACTTTCAAAATAGAGAACAGTAAAATGGAGGTGATTTTAGGCATCGTGTATTACTAATAAGTGCAGTCTAATAAAGATTAAGACAACCTACCTTTATTATTGATTTACTTGATAGCTTTTTATTTTTCAAACTTTATGGCTTTAAATTATAGGCAGTGCTTCAAATGATGCTTTCCCAGTATAAATTTGGAAACCACTCGACTTATAAAGGCTCCCCAAATGGATTTGTGTGCAAAATATACTTCTAGTACTATATATTTCTTTAAAGGAGATTTTTTTTTTAAATGTTTATTTATTTTTGAAAGACAAAACAGGAGCAGGAGAGGGACAGAGAGAGAAGGAGACACAGAATCCGAAGCAGGCTCCAGGCTCTGAGCTAGCTGTCAGCACAGAGCCCGACGCAGGGCTCAAACTCATAAGCTGCAAGATCATGACCTCAGCTGAAGTCAGAGTCTCAACCAAATGAGCCACCCAGATGCCCCTCAAATATAAAGGAGTTTTCTAAGCGGCAAGTGGAAAAAATACCCTGTAGTTGTTTTATTCATGTTTTGTGTCCCTGCCATGAATGAATATTTTAACTGAAGTCAGTGGTCATAAAAAGAAGAAATTAAATCTTCTGCTCTAGTGTTGTTAAAACGCACAGGCATGTGGATACATATGGAAAAGAGGGGATCACTGATTAATGGAGGGCTGTTATGTAAGCAATGATGACATCAGGGAAATGGAACATTCCAGAATGTTTGCCAAGGGCGTTGTTGATGTCCTGGCTTTGGTTCAACTCAGAAATCTCATGGTGGTACTGAAATGAGAATTTACACCTTAATATTTAACAACAAACTGCTTTTGATGAAAATACCAGACATTAAACTCAAAACATAAATCAGAATGAAGTTGGACTCCTTAATGTTGAAATAGATCGGTTTTTTAGCAAAGTAGCTGATATAGTAAATCAGTCAGTGACAAGGAACAGCCAAGGACACCGAGCCCAGTACCTTGCTAAACAAGTGCTAGTCCACTGTTACGTCTTATACATCACTCTGGACAAGGCTGAAGGTATTCTCCATTTTGGTTACGGCTTTATTTTCTCTGCTTAGTGTGAAGTCTTAATGGAAGCATTAAGCAAATAAAATCCATACCATTCAGTAACTTTTTAATGAATGTGAGATTTTTTTTTCACCTAATTTAGCAATTTAATGCTGCTAAATATAGCTACTGTTTTCAGTGTGATACAATTTGAGTATAATGTAAGAGCATTTGAGTATAATGTAACAGCATCTATAATATACTTCACGAATTATCAGACAAATCTTTCTTAAATTTATTAAAAAATATATAGTTTTCTGGAATTATAACTTCCAAATCTAGAGAAGAATATTTTTTTTTGCTTTTAGTTTACTATTCCCAGTGACTTGCTATTAAAACAGACTCCTAAGTTAAAACAGCTAAGTGATTTTTAATTTTACATGCAAATTGAGTCTTTAAATTCCTTTGTTTCCCAAATGACTTTTAAGGACATTTTATACAATTATTTTAAAAACATATAGCGTTTTTAATTTCTTAAAAATCACATAAAGCATTAATTTTACAATAAAATTTAGACAGTATAACCCACATCCCCATCATAAATATATTCATATTATTGTTTCATCCCTGGAATTCCCTTGTGCGGAGTGTGATCTCATTACCGCGATAGACAGACTTGTGGATCTCATTTAACTAATGCTGCCCTTTAACCCTTGGGATGGATGGAAGAGATAATTTATCACTTCCATGTCGTTTTTGCTATACATCTTTTGGCAAGAATGGAGGTATATACAATCAATCTCTTTGGTTATCTATCAATTTTATTTCATGAGGAAAAAAATGTGCAGGAAAGTATTTGGAAAGCATTGTAAAACTTCGCAAAAGTGAAGAACTTGTAGGCTTAGATTAGGAAATACCACCAAAAAAAAATGTGAAGGGTCTAGCCATCAATCTGCAAAGAGACACTCCTAGATGTGGACCTTTGTAAAGTGTCATCATTTCCAGTGAAAGCCAGGCCTTTTAGCACACAAAGAAAGAAAATTTTAAAAGTCCTGCCTCTATCCTTTAGGGAAAATTGAACACACAGGGGAACACAGCCCTATCTGTAGTGACGTCAAGGTGGTTTACAGGAGACAAGAGCCAGTCATGAGAGGCAGTTACACAAATCAGACACGGCACATTTATAGGCTTCCTTTGGGTATTAAAGCCTCTCTATTCTTTCTTTTAAGTCACCTCTATGAAAAGGTTAAAAAAAAAACTCACCAAGTATAAATTCTCTGTTCTTAACATTTCAAAGATCTGTAACATTTCACTACGTACAGTTTTAATTCTTAGTCTTCTCCAAGATAAGTAAGTGTTCAGTTTATCCTACAGTCATTAAGGTAAGCTTACAGGTAAGAGTGTGTTTTAGTCTGTGAATTCAGAAGGTGCAAAAAAAAAAAAAATTAATAGTCACTCAACAGTTGTAATTCTTGCCTGCATGCCTAGGCGTCTGGATTCCAATGCTCTAGTTTGTGACTGTGATTTAATGTGGCTGGGGGAACTTATGCGAGGCTATGCCCGAAATGGCCAAACTCAGGCTGCTGCCACATGTCAATATCCCAGAAGGCTCCAGGGACGCTCCATTGCTTCCGTAACAGTAGAGGAATTCAACTGTGGTACGTAATTTTCGCTGTGGGTGGAAAATGGAGTTGTCTTTTGTTTGCCTTTTTCTATAAAGGTTTGTTACACAATATTGCATTTAGAAGATCATAATATCAAAAAATGCTACTAAGAGGGTCAGTTAAGAGTGTGGTTAATTTTCTTTTCATTATCTGCATCTTTATTTAAGGGAGTTTTTATCATCATAAACAGAGCTGGGAATGTCCTTGAGGATCATTTAATCCAACTTTCAAATTTCAAAGGAGACATATTGAGGAAAACTATTTTTCATTGTTGAAAAACACTGACCAGCATTACAGTTTCCACTTATACCTCAGTTATCACTTAAGTGCTAATGATTAATAATTGAGGTTTTTCAACTTTTGATGAAATAATTATTAATATTCACAATATTAATGCAAACTTTGGATTTGTTAAATATAGTTAAAAATTCTGACAGCTTTAATAAGGCTATCAGGCTTTAATTGAAGATCCAAGTATAGCTTCTTAGAACATTATTTGGTTCTCACTTTAAGCTTTTAATATAAATAAAAGAATATCTACCCATATATCTATCTAATCCATATTTATATATAGCTTTAGACATGAATAAATGAATGAACATACATACATGTGCATGAGTGTGATAATTGGGCTCCTTGGAAATTTACTCACATGATAGCTTATAGCAAAAATTTTCTTTCTAAAACCCATTCACCGGTGGCCAATTTTTGAATTTCTCTAAGCAGGTTATTTGGAAAATTATATCAATATGATTTCATTCCATCCAGATTGAGAAGAAATGTAACTTGGTCTTTATTTCCAAATAAATCCCACATTTGTCTGTGCTTTCCATCTTTACTACCAACTTCAAGTTTATGTTGTAGTCCAGTTTGCCTGGAAATTTACAGTACATCTTAACCAGTGTCCTGGCTTTCATTTTCCTCCCTCTCCAATCTATTATTTAAGGGGAGATCTTTAAAAACAGGTATCTGATTATGTACTTCTTTTGCTCTGACTCTTTTATAGCTGCCCACACCTTAAAATGAAATGTGAAATCCTTAACAAGTCACGCTTCCTGTGTGTTGAATCCCCTGGCTCCTCTGTATAACTTTGATTCATTCTTCCTGTCCGTTTGCTCAGTGATGTTTACCCATCATGATGTTCTTGCAGTTAGTAGAAGTTCTTAAGCCTTTTTCCATTTCAAGAACTGTCCACCTTCTTTTTACTCTGTCTATAACATTCTTTTTACACATCTTCTTATAAAGGCCTTTTCTTAAATATGAATTACTTGGAAAGGCTTTGTTTAATCTTGCTCGTTACCCACCTTCTCCCTACCACACACACACTGAGTCAAGTCCCTTTTTATAATCTGTCAAATTGCCATTTATTTTTCTTAGCACTTATCACAGTATATTGTTACACATTTTTGTGTTCATTTAATTTCGGTTGTTTCAGTGAAATGATAACCCAATACATACAGAAATTTTGTTTTGCTCACTATTTCATCACTGGTCTTAGCATTGGGCCTGACACACTATAATGTTCAATTTTTAAAAAAATAAATGTATAAAGGAATCAAACTACTATTCCAGACAGGTTAAGGCCAAGTGTTGATCATATGGACTTTTGATGAAGTGGTTAAGGTTGAGACCTATATAACATTTCACAGACATATTAGATCTGGTTATTTGTTAGTGATTGAAAATCTCAAGTCATGCATTTATAAAAAGAGTTTTATCATTTAGAAAGATTTAGAAAAAATCATGTTAAAATCACTATAGAAAAGTGAAATTCCTTTTCTAACATTGTTCTCTATAATTTAAATTCAATAATATTATTTGATTCATTAAAAACTCAATCACTCAACTTCCTTATTAAAATTATTTAAATGTTTCCATGTTTGACCTCTAATTATTATTTGAGAATGGAAACATTCATTTATATTAATGAGTAATTTTGCTAAACCAGGTTTGAGGTCTAGACATACAAATTCTTATAAATTATATAAAGTGGACAGTTAGATGGCTAATTGTCTAGGAAGAGTGCCTGCAAATTTCAAGCTCAGTTGAAGTACTTGGCTTAAAATATTGCCCCATAAAATCAAACTTCTTCCATAAATATGGTCGTATTGAACTACTAAAAATAAAAGCACAGGGAAATTTATTTAATTTACTTCATTAGAGATTCCTTTATGCACTGAATCTTTCAAATTTCTGAAGTTTTGTTAAATATATGTTTAATGTCTATACTGGTATATTACTAGGTAACTGCAATACAGTCTATAAAACTTTAATGTAGAGGGATATTAAATATTCTCAATCTTAGAATACTATAATTTTGTATCTTTAAAAACACACCAATAATTATTTGTTACAGAGAGTCCACGAATTACTTTTGAGCCCCAAGATGTGGAGGTAACATCAGGAGATACTGTCTATTTCACTTGCCGGGCGGAAGGAAACCCCAAACCGAAGATTATTTGGATACATAACAAGTAAATATTAAGCATGGACATGTGTTGTATTCTCTTTCCAATTTCATTAATCCATTTATCTTGCCTCAACCAGTTTATCTAGAGATGAAATTTCCAAAATTATCAAATTTCTTGGAGATAAAAATGTCTCTTAGCATTCATCTTTTGACTCACCCAAATTATCTGGGGGACTTCTTAAAATTGTTTATTGCCAGGCATTAATGATTGTGAAAGTGACTCAAGGAATTTTGTATTATTTCTAGAAGGAAATATTGGAATAATACTAACTAAACTAGAGTGTTTTAAAATATGAACATAATTAGATATAACCTCATCTTAATTATTTTAGTTTCAAACTAACATTTTACATTGATGTTGCAAATTTCATATAATAAATTATTATAATGTGTAAGTGAATTGGAAATAAAGGATAAGCAAGATTATTTAAAATACTAGTTATTTCTATTCTCATTGCACTATTTGATAAAACATGGTATCAATATAAAAGTCTGAATATAAAATTAAATAGCAATAACGAACTTTAAAAAATAAAATGTCTAAAGAAAGAGTGGGGAAGTGATATGAAATAGATACATAGAATGAAATACATACTTGATACAATTCAATCACAGTACTTGGATAATTATATTATCATCATTTACATTAGTGGTAACTAGCACGCTTTGCATGTGTCTTTCCCATGTTTGCACAAAATTTCATTGATTGCTTTCTGTCATGTGTGTAATCAATGCTATATTTTTATGATTTTCTTCACAAAATATTCTGATATTAAAATGTATCATTTTTGTATATAATTTGAATTTGTAATTCTACTAAGAAACCTACACATGTTTGTAAAATGTGTTTTTAATTCTTACAGAAAACTAATAAGTATAGGTTAAAAATAGCTTGGAAAGAAAGCAATTATGAATACTATTAAATCTGGAATCTGGCCCAGGAGAAAGATTCAATTGATAGAAGACTTCAATTTATATCCATCTGGAGATTGTTCAAGGGTACTTGAGAGATAGAAATTGCTACTTGTAATGTCTTTAAACTGCTTGCTTTGCCTTCTTACAGTTTAAATTCAGTCATTATGTGTTCAAGGTTATAAAGGTACTGAAATAGTATTTAGAAAGGGACAATGAAAAATCATAATGCCTGATGGAATGTATGACATAAGGGTTTTAAGTATGGTGACTAGAGAAACTAAGATGCATTTAAAAGGAAACAAAGAAAATTGGAAAAGAAGGACTAAAATGAAAGAAAGGTAAAGTATAGGCAGAAATTTGTTATAATATTAACCATTTTGCACAGAAGAAAAATAGAGATGAAAGGGAAGAGTTTATACCAAGAAATATTTAACATCAAAGGTCTTAACTTACCAGTTATTTGTCATTGAGTATTTTTTTTAATTTTTATTTATTTATTTTTTAAATGTTTTATTTCTAGGAGAGAGAGAGAGAGAGAGAGACAGCGTGAGCAGGGGAGGGGCAGAGAGAGAGGGAATCACAGACTCTGAAACAGGCTCCAGGCTCTGAGCTGGCAGTCAGCACAGAGCCCGACGCGGGGCTCGAACCCGTGAACCGCGAGATCATGACCCAAGCGAAAGTCGGACGCTTAACCGACTAAGCCACCCAGGCGCCCCTGTCATTGAGTATTTTTTTATATAAAAAGATAATATATAGACTACAAGTGTATGAAACATAAAGTCTAGTGCAGCAGATAATTTGAAGCAAACATTTGTTTCACATAAACTAAGCTATGAAAAAAATACCGCCAATTCATTAGAAGCTACCCAGGTGTCCCTTCATAAGACTCTCTTTTTTTTCCTTCCCCTAAAGTCCTCTATCCGGACTTTAAGGTCCATAGAGCAATGTGTTAGGAACTGATTAGACACAAACAAAGGTAGAATTAGAGAATTAGAAGGTATGTTTGTTGGAGTAAATTACCTTCCAGGATGGTTACAACACATAGAAACTATAATTCAAAGGTCCAGGACATATCTAGTAGGAGTTTCAGAAAGATAGGTTAGAAATAAAGAGCTGGAGTCAATGTTTAGAGAAGGATGAGGACTATTTCAGAAGTGAAAAAAAAGTCATGAGATTTCAGATTAAGAATTGTATTTCTTCCCTACCTGGGTTTAAAAAAATAAATCTATACCTGGTGAATATCAATCAGAAAGTTGAGAGAGATAAAATCTTTGATTCCAAGATAATTTGAGGATTACCTTCAAATGCATAGCAATTACAATGACAGTTAACTGTATGTGGCTAGAAGGCAATAGCATATATTGAAATGATTAAAGGGGGGAAAAATCTAGTTTCCTTCTGTTTTATACTCAGCTAAATTATCTGACAAGTAAAATAAAGACACTTGCAAAGAGTTGAGCCTTACCAGGGGATATTTGCTAAAAGTAATACAAATTAGAGAGATGTGATATGCAAGAAGCAAAGGTAAAAGCAATGTATTTTTAAACATGTTGCTAAATATGAATAAACTGACATTGTTAAATAAACTATTGACCAACTTTAAAGTAAGAGAGAAGTAAAGTATTAGATGATATCAACAAAAATATTGTAAGGAGGACATAATTAAATCATTTTCCATGGCTCATTTTTGAGGTGTAGAATAATATTAACTTTGGAGTTGGAGAAGTCAAGAAGGCTTGGTAAAAATTATGGTAAAATACTAAGAAACAGGAAGAGACTACAACCGTTCATACTAAGAGATGGGAAAGAGTGATTTAAAAAAACTGGACCAGTCAACAAAAGGGATAGAATTAAGATGAAGGAAAGGCAAAGGAAAGAGAAAATGAACAAAATATCTCATCAGAAGTAAGGTTAAATACATTAGTAAAAACAATAAATGTACAGATTGAATAGCCTTTGGAAACACGTAAGATTGGATTAAAACAATCAGCTATGTGTATTTATGTTTATTTAAAGCATGATACTGTGAGATGGAAGCTGGATGAGTAAGCATATTAAGCGACAACGTGTTAATCAAAATAAAGATGCTATATCAATATTAATATCAACCAAAGTAAATTTCAAGAAAAAAATATAATTGCATATCATTCGTAATTGCATATCATTAGGTCACAGTGATAAGGCAACAATTCACTTGGATGTAACAACCATTTTTGATGTAAGTTTGGAGATTCTTTAAGCTTCTCAGGAAGAGGGTAAAGTGATTAACAGAACCTATAAATAACAATTGAAATAAATTATTAGTAAATGATTCATTGAATCCAAAGAGGAGGGAATGCATTCCATCTGGAGAAAGAATGAATAAAGGCAGAGGATGGAAATCATTGTGATTGGATTCAGGAAAGAGGACAGATCATAATTGTTGGAATGAAGGTTTTGCCCATGAGAGTGATAGAAAAATATTAAAAAATAACTGGAAGGCTAATGCCTTTGGCTTTTCATCTATAATCTTTGAGTGCCACTAGAAGATGTTGAGCAAGATGGTCATATGACCTAAGAGGTTTCTAAACCAGCCGTGCTTTTGAAGATATTTTAAATTGGGGAGCATGAATGATAACTTTTTCATCTTCATATTTCTGGTACCTGGCCACAGAGCCTAGTTCTTAAAAAGCACTTTATAAATGCTTATTGCAATGAATTGCCTTTAATAAATCAAACGTATTTACTGGCACATTTTCAAGGAAAACAAAAATCTGAGAAAATTCTATTTGTGCAAACCTTTGTGATTTTACATATGATTGCTACTTGGTTTGCATCAAGTTGACAATGTGATACATATATTGAAAACTGAAGACCTGCTTTGAACTTTTGAAGGAACATCATGATTCACGAGCAAACAATTTTATCAACATAACCAAGGAGATAGGAGCAAACAGAGAAACAACCAGGGAAAGGGATCTGTGCATTGTAAAGTCATGGGTTAGATGTGCTGCTGTTGCTTTTATACCATTTTAAAGCATGAAAATTGATGAATTCTGTTGCATTGTCTAGCCGGAAGACAGATATCATGTACACATTTGGTAACTTTGATATTTTAGGATTCAGTTTGTAATATGTGTGTACAACGATTTTTACTATTTTTCTGCCCCTTCTCCTCCTCCTCCATGTCTTTCACTTCCATCTCCTCCTCCATTTCCTTTTGTCCAAATTTTCCATCACAGGGAGGCTGAGGCAAATGCTGTGTTTTTACTAGTCTGTCATTTTACAAGATTCTACCTCCATGAAGGAAGGGACTCTGTCGTATCATTCCCAGGATTTGGGAAGGGTAAAATTTTAGTTCATTATAAAAGGATACGACTCAGGAATAGCCAGATGGAAGAGACGCAAAGGGCAAAGTTGGGAAGGGGTGCAGACCTTCTATGCTTTCTGAGCTTGACACTCCCCAAATCTCTGTGTTTACCAGCTTGGAAGCTCCAAGAACAAATTTTAAAGAAACTAAATCATCTTTGGAAAAGATGCAATTCCATTATTGCTGGTGTGTTTCTTTGGGAGCCGTCTTTTTTTTTTTTTTTAAGTTTATTTATTTTGAGAAAGAAAGCATGTACCAGTGGGAAGGGGCAGAGAGAGAGGGAGAGAGAGATGTCTGCACAGAGCTGGATGTGGAGCTCAATCTCATGAACCATGAGATCATGACCTGAGCTGAAATCAGGAGTCGGATGCATAGCTGACTGAGCCACCCAGGCACCCCTTTTGCAAGTAATCTTAATTGGGTTGAAGGTTAGATGATTTTAGAATTGTGTTTAAAATAATCAGCTTTAATACTAAATGAGACTTTGGAATTTGTGCACTGAAAGAAAATGTGCTTTATGTTACACTGCGTAGTCGTGGTAGTTTATATTTACAAGACTATCCATCATCTAATTTCCTTGCCTACACCTTGCATGGCTGACCATTCAGAAGCACTATCGTTTTTCCTAAAGTGAATATCTTCAAAAATAGCAACTTGAAGTTCTCACTAACTGGTAGTTTTTCTTTTTCCTTTAAAAAAATAAGGTTACTTATTTTGTTTTTAAAAATTCTTTTTTTAATGTTTATTTTTGAGAGAGAGAGAAAAAAAGATAGAGTGCAAGCAGGGGAGGGGCAGAAAGACAGGGAGACAGAATCTGAAGCAGGTTCTAGGCTCCAAGCTGTCAGGACAGAGGGTGACACAGGACTCAAACTCACAAACCGCTAGATCATGACCTGAGCCAAAACTGAGTCAGATGCTTAACTGACTGCACTACCCAGGCACCCTAGTAACTGGTAGTTTTTCTTAAAATTAGGCTTTTCAGTGGGTGAAGAAGAACAGACTGTGTCTGTCTGAAGTGTCTTCTCCTGTGCTCCACTCTAAAAAAATGAATGTGAAATATGGCTATTGTGTGGCTTTTTATCCTTTGTGACAGAAACTGCTGAACAGGGATATTTATCCATCTCTTTAACATCCATCTCTTTAACATCCATCTCTTTAGTTTTTATGTATATGAAAATAAGGTGAGTTATTATCCTTCAATGATGGCACATATTTAAATCAGTAGACAAACTTGGAAGCTGTTCACTTTGTAAAACAAATTAAAAAAAAAAAAAAAAAAAAAAAAAAAAAAAAAAAAAAAAAAAAAAAAAAAAAAAAAAAGAGAAATGAGATCCCCTCAATGGACTCTTTCCTCTCTAAAGGGTGTTATTGACAGATGACATATAGTAAGTATTTAATAAATGCTTATTGAGTGATGAATGTGGGGGAGGGAGCATTTTAGGTTTAATAAATTTACAGTGCTAAGCATACTCATATGAACATCTATTCCTCCTCAGACATGATCATGAAGGATTTTTAAAAAGGAAAAACTACCATGATGAGACAAAACCTTCTGTACAAACTTCCAACATATGTTTATGTGTCCGTAGCTTTGCATTTACTGCTAGAGATAACCCAAAACACCATATTATTGATCTCTGAACCTTCTGGGTGATAGTCTTCCCTACTATACTAAATGGATCTACCATTTAAATGGACAAATGGCATTTTCCTAGTATTTCCAAAATGGTCCAATTCAGTTAAGAGAGCCTAACATCCAATGACTGGCTGAATGGGTTATGCTTATTTAATGCCGTGTTGTGTAATTTTCCATGGCTTTGAGCTATGTTGTCTTCAATATGAATATCTTCCTACTCTTTCACAAAATGTGAATGCTTACTGAATGACTCACAGAAAAGAAGTGCAAAACTTACATATGATCATGTGATGATTCCTCTTTTTTTTTTAAATAGGAATTCAGAGGTATAACAATGTGCAGAAATATCTTTCATTTGGATAGATGGCTTTAGTGTTGAATTCATAGATGGCATGAATTTAATCATGCCAACTTGGAAAGCAGGACATTAAAACCTCCTTCCTTTCTATTGTGTCTTAACTCAAAACCTGTGTTTACAATACAATCTCAGAAATGGGAAGGGGCAACTAGGATGTAAATTAAAATCTTTTGGATTACTAAGATAATTTTAGTATATATGCTGCCGAAGCAAGCACTTACTAAGATAATTTTAAAAATTAACAAGTCAATATACATGAACCATATTTATAAGTTCCTATATTTTCCATCTTATTAAGTGTTTTAAATATGACTGGGGTTAAATAACATGTATGTGAAAACGTGCATTTCCAGCCATTCATTGGATTTGGAAGATGATTCTCGACTTAACTTGTTTGACGATGGGACACTCATGATCCGAAACACTCGCGAGTCAGACCAAGGTGCATATCAGTGCATGGCCAGAAACTCAGCCGGGGAAGTCAAGACCCAGAATGCCATGCTCAGATACTCCAGCCCTCCAGGTACGGCTTTTTTCCCTATTGAACTTAATGTAAATGCATCAGTTCTCTGTCAGTTATTTGCACTAGAACGTGACTTACATTGCTTCTTTAAAGTATGGAATGCTGGGGGCACCTGGGTGGCTCAGTCAGTTAAGCGTCCTACTCTTGGTTGTGGTCAGCTCAGGTCATGACCTCACAGTTTCCTGGCTTCAAGCACCATATTGGGCTCTGTGCTGACAGTGGAGCCTGCTTGGGATTCTCTGTCCCTCTCTCTCTGTCCCTCCCCTATTCACGCTACTTTTGTCTCTCTCAAATAAATAAACTTTTAAAAAATAAATAAATAAAGTATGGAATGCTTAAGAGTGAAACTATTGCCATCGTTGATCACTTTCTAACCTTTTACAGAAACTGTTTTTTCTCTTGAAATTTTTTTTAAATGTCCTGCCTCCATTCTGTTCTTTCCTAGTCACCACAGGTCTGTGCTAAGACTGTCATTCTCCTCTTGGTTACCTGTCTAGCTTCCTCAGAAGATGACGCAGCATCCTTAGACAGAGGGAGTCAGCCGTCCCGAGGCAGGACTATCATCATTTCTAACACACCAAATATTTACTGAATGCCTACTGAGCTTGGTATTGAAGATTGTGTAGTTGACAACCAACACTCCTTTAACTTTCTGTGAGCTTTGCTTTGCCGTAATTTCAGTGGCTTATATAAACCAGACACAATAACTGTGGCAGACGGGTAGTGATATCATTTTGAGAAAGATGATGGAAATAGTGAGACTCTATTTCCACAGCCCTGAGTCTATAGTCTATTAGGCAATGGATTCCGTGATTAGCCATAATTCAACAAAATGATAAGTTTTATGATAGGTAAGGGAAGGGGATAGAAGGATAAAGGAGAGTTAGTTGTGTGCTGGTAAATGTTAAAGAACTGGCTCTGGGGATGAGGGGGAAGCCCTGATTTGCAACATTTGCCAGTGACTGACATGACACTGAATTTGGCATTGGGAAGAGATGTGTATGCATAGCATTTCTACCCTGTAGACACAGAGATGTAAATAATCTCAGAGCTCTAGATAATAGTGAAATGTGAAATAATTACAAGTGGTAAGTGTCAGAACTTATCTTCAACATTCATGAGGTTTATTTAGTTGTAGTTCATGTAATTTAATTTTTAACAATGGCTACGTTTCACAACCATCTTGAAAAAGTCAAAAAACTTGATAACCGGCCCTCTAGAGCAGGCTCCGGCGCACCCCTGACAGAGGAAGAGCACTTGGAGTCAACTGGAGATCTGTGTTGATTCCAGAAAGGATTTTCCAGGACCAGAGACATCTACACTGCAAGCAAGAAGTAGGAAAAGCCAGATAAAGAGGGTTGGAATCTCATCTTAGTAGAAAGAGCAGTAGACAGAGCAGGACACATTCAAGACTTGGAAGTTCTAGATGCCTGGAGGAGACAGATGCAGGATTGGGAAATCCGTGAGAGTTGATGGGCTGCAAGGCAGAGTTGAATCATTCTTGACTGTACTCTAAGTGTGATCAAAATTAGATGTTCCTTTTAAAAAGATCTCCCAGGCTGCCGTTCAGAGCCCAGGCAGGAGGACGGAGTGAGGTGTGGAGGCAGGCAGGCTGTGGCGATGATGCAGAGAAGAGGAGTGACGTTGGATGGGGCAGTGACAGAGGGAGTAGAGAAGACGCCCCTGAGCTAAGAGTTACTCCATCAGAAATGGTGCATTTGAGTCAGCGATGGACCGAATATGGGAATTCCCTACAGAGTTCTTCAGTAATTTCTCATCAACACACCCACTAGCCTTTTCCAAAGCGTCATCCACTTTGCCCTCTAGGTCAAGCCTGACTGCACACGGGAGTACTTCTACTTTGACTTCTGGGCACCACTTTCTCCTGATCCTTTCCTAAGGTCCTCTCCTTCTTTCCCAGAGTCTTCAGCCTGCCTCAACAGTGCTGTTCCCCCACACCCTCCAACACCCACCCTTCCTCCAGCTGGCTTGCCCTAACCACATTTCTTTCTCTTCCACTGAACTCTTTGTGACTTTTGAAGCAATTCCCAAACCTTGAACTTGAATCATTTCTGTACACCTCGAAGATTTTATTGCTGGTATCTTTCCTGGGATTTAGATTGATCTTGCCGCTGCCTTCTTGCTCATTTTCACAGGTCAGTTTTTACCTCACTCAGACCCTTTTGCCTGCACTTCATCTCACGTTCGCCATCACTGTTGATACTAATATCCTCCTAAAACTTCAGATTCAGCCTCCACTGCTATCTTTTCTTCATCAAGTCTCTAGAAATTTGGTTCCAAGTTGTATCAGATTATCTTCCTTTACATTTCCACTGCCATTGATTCGCTTCAAAAACCTTTTGTACCTAAATTATTATAATAGCTCTTTCCATTTTTCTATAGCCCTTTACATCTTGTGTAATATAATGATTTCCAACATATGTTGTTCTTCAGACTATGTGCCTTGTCTTCTGTTCTCATAGCTGAAGCATAAGCTTACAAGGATGTGTGTCTTTGTATCTTTTCAACATCTAGAACATTTCATCTACCTATCTACCTTAAGGCATTCAGTATTATTAAAATTAAATCTTGATTGTTGAATTAGATTAAATAAATTTAACTCTATTCTTCTTGGTATATTTATCTAAGAAATTAAGAAGCCCCCCCCCCGCAAATTAGACTCAACAATTAGGTATTTTTAACACCCAAGTAAGTCTTTATTTAACACCCTAGTAAATCCTAAGATTTCTAGGAAAGATGAAGCTCTTAAGAATCAATGAGTGGAACACCCTATGTGGAAGTCCAAATTTCATATTTACAAGAATACTTAGTATTGTATTATGTTTGGCTAAAGGTGTCAGAAAACTTGATGAGTTATGGCTTAAACACACACACAGTGTTGTGTGTGTATGTGTGGTTTATTCATATGCGACAAGCGGTGAGGGAGTCAGGACAGAGCTGCCTCGTTACCCCAATGCTCCAAAGATATCTTTCTGTTCTTCAGTCCTTTGCACATAGACCTTTTTCTCCCCTTCATGAGTGTCACCTGTTGGTATGAAGTTGGCTCCTGGAACCCAAGAGTCATGCCCAAATGCCAGGTAGCTAACAGAGGAGGAGCAATGACTAATTAAACCACTCCTTTATCTGAGAAGGGCACTCTTCCAGTGACACGTGTCTACATCTTGTTGGCAGTAAGTTCCCTTAACTGCAAGATAGTCTGAAAAGGGGATATTTTTCAATGGGAACACTTGAACAGTTAGCCCCTGAAATAAAAATAATGGATGTGCAATGATACATCACAGCATGGAGGGAAGCAGTCTTTTAAACAAAGTATATGTTTATATCAAATCCAGATTTCAGATCCAGATATTTTAGGGGCACCTGGGTGGCTCCATTGGTTAAGTGTCCGACTCTTGATTTCAGCTTAGGCCGAGATCTCCAGGTCGTGGGATTGAGCCCCCCCCCCATACTAAAAATGGAGCCTGCTTGGGATTCTCTCTCAATGTCTCCCTCTGCCCCTCCCCCACTTATATACATGGATGCAGATGCGTGCTTTCTCTCTCTCTCTCTCTCAAAAAAAGATCCAGGTATTTTAGGTTTAATTATTTGAGAATTGAATGTATGTATAAAATGTCTTAGTATAAAGTCATTTTGAAAGTGACAAAAATTTAAAAACCACAGTATGGAATAAATAAATGTTAACTGCTACTGGCTGTGTTTTGTTTTGTTTTCCTCTTTCCTTTAGCCAAGCCCAGTTTTATAATCCAGCCTCAGGACACGGAGGTTTTAATTGGCACCAGCACAACTCTGGAATGTACGGCAACGGGCCAACCACACCCCCATATCACCTGGACAAGGGGTAGCGGAGAGGCCCTGGACGGGTCCCGGCATCTGGTCACTTCTGGAGGACTGTACTTACAGAATGTCACCCTGCGGGATCACGGTCGATTTACCTGTCACGCTGAAAATAATCAAGGCTCCGTTCAAGCTACAGCAAACATAATTGTACAAGGTATGGGAGCAGGAGGTCATGATTGAAATGTTCCTGCTGCCACACTCAGAAAATTATTTTTCAACTTCAAAAAATAATGTCATGTAAATCAGTGAAGAGATTTTTGTATTTGCCATTTAGTTTCTGACATAATAGAATTTTCAAAACTAATCTGCTTCACATGAAAACTTGCATTTATTTTTACTTCAGTCTTTATCCACATGCTGTAATCAACCATTAGCAACAAAAGAGATGAAGTCATTCATCTGGCAGCGAACTGTCGAAAGATATTTGTGCTTCAGTATGCCTTACGGATGTAGAAAAGACACTTCAGATATGGATGTGAAAATTCTGTGCCCTCTGTTCATAGTCACTTACCAAACTTGTCTCCTCAGCATAGCTCAGGAATACACTGATGGCTCTTATGAGCCTGGCTGTGTAACGAAAGCAGTAATAAAACTATTCTGAGCACCACAAATAGTTTATATGCACGGGCATGCAGTCCTGCTGCACAGAACTTGTGTTTTCATGCTATGCTTTTGTTATGAACCCGGGCTGCCCCTCCCTTTCTGTTGTGGTGGTTGTGAGTTGGGGTGTGGGTACAGGCTCACGTGTGTGCACACATGCATTCAGTGCTCCTTGTGGGCTTAGAGGTGTAGTAAACATCAGAATATAAGTCTTCTTCAAATAATGTCAAAAGTCCTATATCCAAAACCGTTTTTTATCAGCTGTCAAGAGTACAATAATTTACAGTAACACATTTTCAGGGCTTCCTAAAGCCATGAACATTAAAATCAATTAGGTAAACGGGACGCCTGGGTGACTCCGTCAGTTAAGTGCCTGACTTCGGCTCAGGTCATGAGCTCACAGTTGATGGGTTCCAGCCACGAGTCAGGCTCTATGCTAACAGCTCAGAGCCTGGAGCCTGCTTTGGATTCTGTGTCTCCCTCTCTCTCTGCCCCTCCCCAGCTCGCACTCTGTCTCTGTCTCTCTCAAAACTAAATAAATGTTAAAAAAATTTATAAAGGAAGTTATTTTATTTAACATATTTGTGTAAGATGTTATCTATCAAAAAGCCAGACCCTGGGGAACACGGAACAAAAACTCATGAGTTGGGGCAACTTTGGGGCAGCAAGTGCTGGCTGCTCGGGCTGGTGCAATGGGCCCTCTGGAAGGTACACCACTTCCTCCATCCTGGGGTTCCAGCATTCAGTAAATGTTTTCCACATTGCTTTTGCCTAACACCCACTCTTTAAGTAGCTATAGATCAATAATTTCTTGTTTCCATTCAAATGTCTGAGGAAAGAATTGTGTTTCCCCTAGAAATGTTAATACCATGAAAAACATTTTCTATACTCTAAAAAGGTGTAGAGATGAAATTTTTTTCATGAAGTCCTGGGTAACTCCTGGGGGAAATTACTTTTAAAGGACTCAAACATTACTTTTAGGCTTTCCATGTGTCAGGGTTGAAAAATGCTTGCAAAGAAATAGTATTTAGGGTTTTTTTTCTTGCATCATTTTATACCTAATGTCTGGGTTTTAGAAGCATGATACCTAATCAAACATTTACACTCTGACAGGCTCCTTTATTTCACACCATTCTAGTCTTCCGTGTTTTGCCTTCCTGCATTTTATTTCTACTTCTGTTTTTTCGTCTGGATCCGTCTAACCAAACTCTGCTGTTTATGGTGCTGTTCATTTCTCATCCTACAATACGCTAACAATTTCTTTTTACCAGGCAGTTTGCACTGAAATTGCTACCTGCTTGTCTTTTGTCCCTTGCAACTGTGTAGTTGGGTTACCTGTAGGTCTCTGTGTTGAGATTTTTAATTGGTCTTGAAATGGTCCATTAATCATTCAGTACATTTATAACAGAGGCTTCTTTTATTTGCCTAGTGCACAAACTAAATATTTTAAGATGTCCCCCTTTGTGTCATCTTAACAGATGTTCTATCAATTTTCTTTAGTTCTTCTAATGTCCTTTTAAGCCAAGAACACAATTGCCCACAGATTAATTTCCTTCCCTAGACTGGTTGAACAAATAATAAAAGAAAAAAGAAAAAGCTTTGGTGAAATCATGGTGTGGGGCACTTAGATGAAAAAGCCTATAGTTCTCAACAAGGTAAACAAAAATGCTCTTTTGTATGAGGCATCATGGTCACGGAGTAAAATCTACCAGAAGGTGAATTTTAATAAAATGGCAAAACGCTTCATCTAAGCATGTGGTGTTTTAGCTTTGGAGCTGGGGCTATTGGCCACCATTGTTCAGTGGAAGGCCTGGGAATGTCAACTCCTGATTCTTGTTGAATTCCTCCAGCCTCCACTACCTGCCTTTGTGATGTTTGGCTCTTCTGAGTTTTCTCCCCATTAGATCTCAAAATTTCTTCGTTAATCTAGCCAGTTGGCCACTCTAATGTTAGGAACAAATGTACAATGATCATTTACTTAGTTTTTCCTAATTTTTTGTAGGATATGGTCTCCGGGAATTAAAAGAAATATTATTTTCCATGAAACTGTATGACATATAACGATGCTTTTCACCCAGAGTTGGCTACTTGTGAATTTTAGTTATTATGAAAAAGTTGAAGTCAAATTTCCCAACAGTTGTGCCTTAACCTAATGACTTGCTGTAACTAATACCCACTTCTGCTTTATAGCTCTTCCACTGTGACATGAATTCATTTTTTAATGTAGAAATATTTGTGCTCATTTCAAGTTATTCCCAGCAATTTTAAGAGTTAGTGTAATGTTCCGAAAAGAACATCAGGCTGGGGGGTGAGTGGCCTAAATTTTCTTCATGTCTCTGAGAGTTACTCAGTTCTACCTCCCCCAGCCTGTGTGTTTTCATCTATGGAACATGGAGCCAGAGACTGCTGACCTGTGGAGTGTTTTCTAGCTGACTTTTCTAAGATTCTATTACAAATATCTTGCAGGCGTTCCTGAGGGCTTTCATGAATTTGCATGACCTTGTAATTTATCTTTTACCATCGTTCAGCCTAGTGCCTTACTTAGAATTAAAGACTTTTAAAAATCCTTATTACTTAAACACAATGTGAAAGCTGAAACAGATATACTTTCCTGATTATTGTTTATTTTATCATGTTTCTTGTAAATCCAGATGGTAAGGAAGAGCAAGGAGGGGGTGAGTACCAAGTGCTAACAGCAAGGAGAAGTGGTCAGGTCATCTCAGAAAGTTGTTTGAAAATCGCATCACTTAGGGATTATTGGAGATCATCATGCCTTTAAATGGCCAGATAGATCTGTTTTCATATTAATAAAAGTCGTGAACAGATTCTATAACTGTATATGCAGCAATTAGCTCTTTAAACAAATTCAGCTGCAAAAGACCTAAACATTTGGAACTCCTGGAATTTTGACTTCAATATGGCTTTTTCAAAGGAATCATATCACATGTTATAAGAAGCATCTTTTCCTGAAATTAACAGAACAACTTGTTTCATATATTATCATTTTTATGAAAATTTGGAGGAAACAGTTTTGTTAATGGCTCACATACGATCTGTAGTTTTATATGCCTGTCACAGTTAATATATAACATATGAAGCAGATTCCATAAGGTTTAGAAATACTTCCTTCTTATTAACTACCACTTTTCTGCTTTGCAAACCAGATGTGTATATTTCTAGTTTCTTTACAAGCAGGCACAGACATACACAAGCATCTATACACTCATGAATAGCTTTTGTGTAAGTAACTGGGGACAGATTCTAATGAAGCACCTTATTTGTTTGAGAGAGAGAGATAATGTGTGTGTACTTATGCGTGCATCTGAGCAAGGGAGGGAGACGGAAAGAGAGAATCTTAAGCAGGCTCCATGCTCAGCACAGAGCCCTATGTGGGGCTTGATCTTATAACCTGATCATGACCTGAGCCAAAATCAAGAGTCCAGAGCTTAATGTAGCGAGCCACCCAGGTGCCCCAAGCAGCATATTTAAACATATTTCTTTTTTGTCCATCTTGGTATTAGAAATTGAGGAATGCCTGGGTGGCTCAATCAGTTGGGCGTCCAACTTCAGCTCAGGTCACAATCTCGCACTCTGTGAGTTCAAGCCCCACATCAGGCTCTGTGCTGACACCTCAGAGCCTAGAGCCTGCTTCAGATTCCGTGTCTCCCTCTCTCTCTGTCCCTCCTGTGCATACAGTCTGTCTGTCTCTCTCTCAGAAATAAACATTTAAGAAAAAAAATTGATAATTTTTAATTTTTATGTAATTTTTCATTCTCTTTAGCTCCTCCACAATTCACAATAATTCCCAAGGATCAAATGGTGTTAGAAGGACATTCTGTAGAATTTCTCTGTGAAGCTGAAGGCAACCCACCTCCGATAATTGCTTGGACCAAAGCAGGTATTAGCATATCCACAGGTGACTATGGGAAGAAATAAATATCTTCCTTTATGAGAGTTTAAAAAACAGTTTAAACTAATTATTATAGGTACATCACAGACATGAAAACATCACACCGAAAGGAATCTTTGAATTAAATAGGTCATCATAATTTTTGTTAAGTGTCAATTCTCAACATTTGAATATGTGGCCTTCGTTTAGATAATCCTCTCTGGGACTCAGTTTCCTGTTTTTTTTTTGTTTTTTTTTTTTTAATTTACCCATCCTCCTACCCACCTCTTCTCTGGCAACCATCAGTTTGCTTAATTTCTTGATTTTACAATAAAATTATTGGACAGTTCAGTGGTTTTAAATGCTTTTCAAAAAGTAACAGTATTCTCTTCTAGTATAAAATGACATTGTAAGTGCAATGAAACCAACAATAAGTGAAACTCTAGCATATTAAGTGGATAAAAGTGAGCAGCTGTCTTTTAAGTGTGGGGTGGGGGTGGGGTGCCTGCACTTCCAGTGATCCCTGGGGCATTAGACAAGGTCTACACTCTCTGAGGTTAGAGTTCCTCTAAGATTTCTCTGGTCTTGGAATTACTTTTACATTAGTTCAGGTAACCGGGTTAAATTCTGAACACATCAACACCTGTGAATTTCCTTTAGCTCTCATTTTTGCTCTCATCTTTGTAAGAGTAGAGTGGTTAGGAGGTGAACTTTGAAGGCACAAAGCCAAGATTCATATCTCCCTCCTCTTTTTACTACTTGCCTGACCTTGGGCAAGTAAGTTGACTGTGGTTTTTTCTAGACTTCTCTCATCCATATGTCAGGAGTGACTGAAGATACTGCCGAAGGCACAGGGTGGTGGTGGAGACTGTTTTGAATGTATTTATACTTGTAAACATTTAGAAGAGTATGTGGCTCATTTGTGTACATAGTAAAGGTTAAGTACCATTTTTCCCTGCAGAGCCAAACATTTAATAAGATACAGATTGTCACTGAAATAGTTGAGAATGAAAACCCATTAACTTGTTAGTGGCCACATGGAGTATAAACTCAGTATAAGCTCAGAGGTGGTAAAGTGCAATGTTGGCTGTGAGGATTAACAGCCTGAGTGTCACAAATGCCACCATTCTCTAGATGCTACCTCAGCACCTGAAATGTTATAATTCTATAATGTTTTTATAATCCAAATATTGCATACATGTGTTGAAAAACTGTATTTAGTGATCATTGTGGGGGGTAATCTAGGAATAAAAACTGTTGTTAAAAAATAAACAAAGGCAAAAACAATTCCCTTCCCAGCCAAGTTTTGCCTTGTTTCACTGAATTAATTAAAAAGTGGGGGGTGGTGGTGATGAAGCTACAGAAAGAGGCATGTAGGGTTAGCCTGTGCAATGCCTCACAGGCCCTCTTAGGAATTTTAGCTTTTATTCTAAGAGTAGTAGGAAGCCACTGTAAGCCAGGGTACTGTTGGAATAAGATTAGTTTTGAAATTTGCACCCTAACTGTGGAAAATGAAACTCAAGAGGCAAACAAGAAGATGGGGAGATTCATTACAGGGCTGATCGTTCTCCTTCTGGGCATCAGCTGTCCAGATTCCAGGATGCAGCAGCAGGAGGGGTGGTCCCAATATAGGGATACAGAGGCTTTCTGGAGAGATCTCAGCCTTTACCCAGCACCTAACAATCACACAATTGTAGCTGTCAGCTCTTTGAGCCATAACACTGACATAAAAGTACTTTCTCTCTTCACAGGAGCCCAGCTCCTTCAGGAAGGTCCACATACAGTTCTCTCCTCTGGCACTTTGAGAATTGACCACGCGGCACATCATGACGAAGGCCAATATGAATGTCAGGCAGTCAGTCCATTGGGAGTGAAAAAAGCATCTGTCCAGCTGACTGTGAAACCCAAAGGTAATGTGTGCCATGATTGGGTTTACACACCTGAAGACAGCGCCTCTTTATGTGTCTTTTACACATTCTCAGGGACCTTATTAAGTATTTTTTATTTTATAAGATCTAAGAAATTGCAAATTTGATAACCTTCTTCTAATCAATTGTTTAAAAAAAAACCTGAGGTGAGGATTTCATTTCTGTTAATGATAAGTATTAATATCATGTTTTCTTCCAAAAATATCATTTTGTGTTTTCTTAATATTTTTTTGCAAAGCTAGTTAATTAGTCCTACATGTGGAGACTAGCTCACAGAAATGTACATTTCTCACACTCATACAATTCTCCAATGGGCTGAATTATGGCCCTAATATCAATATATCTTTTATTCTTAGGGTTATCCATAATATACTGCAGACACTATTTCAGAGCCATCGTGAAAGACAGTAGTTTGGTTTAGCATAAATAGTAATATTCTGGAATGCGGTTGGGTTATTGGTCCATAATTTATCATTAACTGAAATATTAAAAAAAAAAACCTCAAGGCTTACATTTTTAAAGACAGGTCCAATGTAAGAATGAAAAATGGTTGTTATTAAATACTATGGAAATTTCTTCTTAGTTACTGACTTATGATGAAATGAAGAAACATATATATATATATGTATATATATACACATATATGCATATATATATATACACATATATGCATATATATAATCTAAACTGCAGTTTATATTTAAATATAAGTTCCTATCTTCACAAATTTGCTATAATTTGTTTTGATGTAGTAGATCTAAATTCAGAGGTAACACATATTTAGATAAGAGCATATAAAACATGGAGAAAAAGGTCGGCTAGATGTAGCAATATAAATGTGAAAAGAAATATTAGTAGATGTTGAAGAGTTCAATGGTGCTGGGACAGAGACCTAAGATTGCACTGAGCTAACATCTATGTACAATCTAGTATTTATTCCTTTCTCCCTATATATTAAACATGTCAAATGCTTTTTTCTTTCTTTTTTTTTTTTTTTTTTTTTTTGATGGAAGTTGAGGTTCTATGAAGAGGTAAAAAGATACTTGGGAAAGTGTGCAAATAGCTACTGAAATGCATGGAAAGATTTGAAAACACCATGGAAAGATGAAGGCGCCATGCAGTGCTCTTCGAAAAATCCATTTCTTTGGTTCATTCTTTCGTTTTTTAAATGTTTTATTTATTTTGAGAGAGAGAGAGACAGTGAGAGCAGGGGAGGGACAAAGAGAGAGGGAGAGACAGAATCCAAAGACAGGCTCCAGGCTCTGAGATAGCTGTAAGCACAGAGCCCAATGCAGGGCTTGAGCCCACGAACTGTGAGATCATGACCTGAGCCTATGTCAAGATGCTCAACCAACTGAGCTACCCAGGTTCCCCTGGTTCATTCTTTCTAAGAGAAAATGCCAAAAGCTGCTCCGTAGAATGTTTAAAATTACTTTTGAGTTGGTTTTCAACAAATTCAACTAATTTAAAAATCAGAAAGTTTTCCCATTAATATCTTATTTTTTTTATTAATATCTTTTTTAAAAGGAGGACATATGAAATCAATGCACTATCATCAAACTATAGCATGAAGATGCTGAAGTTAATGGTTTTAGTTTTGTCCTCTTTTTACCCCATTGTTATATCCTTCCACCTCAATGAACTACCTCCCATTGACCCTCTAGATCTCAATTTAGAAATAGACTCCTTCCTAAGGAGGTTCCTTTCCTCCACTCGGTAAGATATTGTAAGATACCACTGTTGAAATTAATATTAGAATAGACTATTTAATCTAAAGTTGACAGATGTGGAGGAATTTGATAAATTTATCAAATATCCATAGCTAAGAAAATATCAGTAACAATAGGCCCAGATGTGGAAACACTACAAACAAGTTTTTTAGTGAACACAGAGCCCTGTGTGTTGAACATAGACTAGGAGAATGGAGTGGAGGACAGGGTAATAGGGAGGAAATAGTTGGGATGGTTGGTTGAGTTAGAATGTATCAGATCTTAACTATAGGCCATGGAACTTTCCAAATGTTGGCCAGATCTATTACGTAGAATATTAATTAGCCTAAAGTGAATAGACAAATGCTGGAGTGAACGAACATTAAAAATAAGAAATCATTAGAACTATGGCTATAGTCAAGTGATGTGTTAGGTGACCTGAACATTTATGACAATGGGAATGGAAGAGTTAATGAATTCAGGTAAATGTATAATAGGTGGAACCATTTTATCTCTAAAATTATTAATAATATTTTTCCCAATAACTACTGCTGAAAATATTTTGCAGACCCCATTTTGTGTGTTTTGAAGTGTTTCTCAAAGTGTGTATTGTGGATTGTCAGTGGAGGAAATTTCCAAGACACTTTTGGGGGTCGGTGGTTTAAGTTAAAACTATCTTATAATATCAAGGTCTTATTTTCTGTTTCCACTTGGTTGATATTTTCACCAATGGCACAAAAATAATGGTGGGCAAAAGTGCTAGAGCCTTAGCACAAACCAAAGCAATGGCACCAAACTGTACTAGTAATTTGTATGTTCTTCACTTGTAGTGGGGAAAAAGATAGTAATTTTATTGAACAATGTGACTGATGGAACAGAAGGAAAACACTACTTTTATTAAATCTTGTCCCTCTAGTAGATGCATGATGAAAGAAATAGGCAAAAGAAGCTGTCAATTATCAAATTTTGCTGTCGTATCAAATATTCTTCACAATTATCTGAAAAAGTGCTTAAAACATCTCTACATTTTTGGGGTGCATGGGTGGTTCAGTCAGTTGAGCATTGGACTTTGGTTCAGGTCGTGATCTCTATGGTTTATGAGTTTGAGCCCCACATCAGGCTCCCTGCAAGTCTGTAGTCAACGCAGAGCCCATTTCTGCCCCTCCACTGCTCAGGCTCTCTCTCTCTCTCTCTCTTTCTCTCTTATGAATGAATAACTGAATGAATGAATATAAAAATCTTTAAAATATTTTAAAAATAAATAAAATATCCCCACATTTTACAAATACTTAAATTTGTGAGGGCATATTTTATTCATATACCTCAACTAAAATGACTAATTGCAAGAGATTGAACTCAAAAGCAGTTATTCGAATATTGAGATTTGCAGAAGAGCTTACTTTTGGAAAAGTAATTAATGTTCATAAAAATGTGTTATAGACTATTGCATGAGTTTATAACTGCAATTTTTGAATGAGTGAATCAATCTTAAAGTGCTCAGATTTAATTTCTAATATGGTGAACATGGCTGCATAAAACCAACATAAATGAAAGCCCTTGGCGCTTCTCAATAATTTTTAAGTGGAAAGAAGTGTTCCTGAGATTAATGAGCATTTGAATAACACTCATTTGTTGGATCTTCTTTGCCTGATTTCTGGATCTTTCCTTTTTCTTTTTAATCCATTTAAACCCTTTGCTACCACATCATTTTGCTAGCCTTTCTCATGTCTATGCCCCTTGTCCCATTTTCAGCGGCATTTATTCACTCCAGAGATGCTTCTAACCTTTAGCTATGCAATAGTTTTATTTTTTCCACTAATATTTTGCTCCAGTCTATGCAAATATATATAAACATTGGATGAAACTAGTAATTTTGTAGAAACATATAATTGATAAAAACTAATTCCAGAAGAGAGAGAAATATAAACAGAATATAGCAGGGGAGAAAAAAATGTTGGCAAGGATCATAGCACAGTGCAGACCCCCAGCTGTTACTCTGCAGCATGGCTGAATAGAATGTTAATTATTCTGAATATTAAACTTGCAAAAGAGTTCCCTCCAATAAGAGCATGTGGTTATGTGGTTTCCCAAGGAAAACCATTACATCTATAAATAACAAAAATTCTAATGCTATTTAAATGGTTTTAGGAATTAGAAATTAATAAACACACTAAAAATATTCTTAGTAAAACAAACATAAGCTTGATAATAAAATTCTATGAAGTCATTAAAATATATCAAAGGAAAACTATCTTGTGTACCTATGCAAAGAATCTAGGAATGTAAATAAAGAAATATAATTTGAAGCCATAAATAATCCAGGAGCACATGAGAAAATATTAGTCCATAATTAAGTGGTTTTCATTCCAAAAATTCAGAGATAGTACAATAATAGGAAAGCTATTGATATATTTTATCAAATTAATGGATTTAAGAAGAAAAATCATGATTCTTTCCATAGATACTGAAAAAAAGACATTTGATAAAATTCAATGTTTATTCTCATTCAAAACTCTTAGTTAACATAGGTCTGAATAGACATTTTTCCAACATGAGCAAATAGATTTGCATTCCTGGATCTTTTCATGGATACACAAAATAGTTTTCCTTTGATATATTTTAATGAATTTTTAGGATTTGTTATCAAATAACTCTTGCTTTACTGAACTCATTAGCCAGAATCCTGCTTAAGAGAGAAATGACATAAATATTTTCACTAAAGAAAAGATTTCTGCTATCATTATATCATTTAATGTAGATTTGGAGAGACAAATCATTACAGTTAGCCAAGAGACCAAGGAAAGAATAACCAGAACAATTCTGAAAAAGAACCATAATTAAGAAGAACTTATCACACTAGGTTATAAAATATATAATAAGGCTACAGAAATTAAAACAGTGCCTAGATAGTAAGTACATTGGGCCAAAATATATAATCTACAAATTGATTCCCTTTCATATGGGAATATCATGTACGAAAAGGATGGCATTTCTTTTGAGTGAAGTAAAGGTAACGATTCAATGAAACCTTTGGGAATAGCTGGGTAGACCTATGGAAAATAACACTGGGTATATACAATGCGAATTTTGTCCTGGAGATGTTTTTCCAGTCAGGAAGTGTATGTGCCTAGCCCGTCTTGAGTCCCGTGTTATTACTTCCTCTACACACATCTTTACTTGATCTTTTCTACTTTAGGTAGCCCTCCCTTCAACTGCTTTGGAAGAGTGGGATTTAGTACTTCCCTAATTTTACTGAAAAGGAAGCTTGTAGTT